CTACTTCCATAGTGATACTGCCTCGGAAACCCAAGGAGGGGTCGCTATGAGTCAGGGCCGACTCGACGGCAAACAACAACAACAACAAATTTTTACCTAGACATGTTTCTTAAGTAAGAAGACTTTATTTCCTTGCCTCTTAGGTCTGCCCAGTCCTCTCTGGAAGTTTGAGTGGAAGGTAGCCACACTCTTAATCTGATCTTTGCTGCTGGTTTAGCACAGATGTCTGGTGCAGAATTGTTGAGAGCTGCTTGGGAAAGACTTGGGACAACAGTCTTATCTCCTGCTTAGGCTACCTTTTAAAAGCCAATTCTCTTGCCTACCATTTCTGCTTGTAAACCAGCTAAATTGAACCTTAGTTCAGGAGGCCAGAGCTGGCAACACCTACCAGTATTCTGACTTTTCCCAATCTCTTCCTCTAGAGCTATAAGCTAGGCCTATAGTCTATCTTCCTAGATATGTAGACAGAAGCTTTGCCCCAGGCTAACAAGTATTCCTAGGTATTATCCTCTGTATCTGTTCTTACTGTCTGCTACACCAGTATCACAATTTTTAGATTTGGGTACAATAGCTCCTCACTTCAAGATACCAAATTCTACTTTATCCCTTTATTCTGTTTTATAATGTAATAGCACTTAGATGGATCAGATGCATCTTGGCTGAAAGCAAAGAATAACACAAAGATGTTTACCTGTGTTTTATTGACTGTGTAAAAAAGCATTCAGCTGTGTGGATCGCAACAAATTATGGATAACATTGCAAAGAATGGGAATTCCAGAATACTTAATTGCGCTCATGAGGAACCTGTAGAGATCAAGAGGCTGTTGTTTGAATAGAACAAGGGGATATTACATGATTTAAAATCAGGAAGAGCGTGTGTTGGGGTTTTATCCTTTCACCATACTTATTCAATCTGTATGCTGAGCAAATGATCTGAGCAGCTGGACTATATGAAGAACATAGCATCATATTGGAGGAAGACTCATTAACCTGCGATATGCAGATGACACAACCTTGCTTGATGAAAGTGAAGATGACTTGAAAAACTTACTGATGAAGATCAAAACTACAGTCTTCAGTACGGATTACTCCTCAAAATAAAGAAAAGAAAAATCCTTGCAACTGGACCAGTAAGTAACATCATGATAAAATGGAGAAAAAAAACTGAAGTTGTCAAAGATTTCATATTACTTGGTTCCCTAATCAACACAATGGAAGCAGCAGTCATGAAATTAGGCATTGTATTGCGCTGGAGAAATCTGCTATAAAAGACCTCATCAAAGTGTTAAGAAGCAAAGATGTCACTTTGAAGACTAAAGTGTGCCGTGGTATTTTCAGTCACCTCGTATGGATGTGAAAGCTGGATAGTAAATGAGAAAGAAGAGTTGATGCCTTTGAATTGTGGTGTTGGTAAAGAATATTGAAAATACCATGGACTGCCAGAAGAATGAACAAATCTGTCCCGGAAAAAGTGCACCCTGCAGTGCTCCTTGGAAGTGACAGTGGCCAGACTTCACTTACTTTGGTAAGTACATCTCACTTAATTTGGTCATGTTGTCAGAAGGGACCATTCTCTGAAGAAAGATACCATGATTGGTAAAGCAGAGCGGCAGCTGGAAAGGGGAAAACCGTCAACAAGATGGATTAACACAGTGGCTGCAACGATAGGCTTAAGTGTAGTGAGGACTGTGAGGATGGTACAGGACCAGGTGGTGTTTCATTCTGTTCTACATAGTGTAGTTATGAGTCAGAGCCAACTCAACAGCACCTAACTATAATGCAACGCTGCCGAGACACCAGGACATGGAGTTGTTTCAGAGAAGCAGTTTATTAGCACTCCCGGGCGAGGTTCTCATGCCCTAGCATCAAGGCCAGAGAAGTCGCACCCCTGGGCAGGTGGGGCGTAGATTCTTGTAGACACAGAGAGGACCTAATTGGGGACACTAACGAAATGGCGGGGTCCAATTAGCTGTTGGCACTGTTGGCACGGGTCTGCACCTAATTAGCATGAGGGGACTTCACAGGAGGAAGTTTGTCATCACGTGGGACTTTCCAGCCTGGGCGGGTTTTACCACTTTGGTTGTCTTATCAGGTTGTCTCATCAGGGCCTGACACCTGGAGGAAGTTGCTAACTGAAATGTTGGTGGTTTGAGTTTGCTCCGGCCTAACATTCCAACCTCTTTTAATGGATAAAGGATGATGTGATTCTCTTAGCTTCTTCCTGCTGAACGGGGTCGGAGAGGGAGAGAGGGGTTTTACAGGTTGGAGTCTGAAAAGTCAGGGTCATCAGTTGGCAACTTGGTGTAAGGATGTAGGAGAAGTTGATTCACTGTAACCCGAGATATTTCTTCGAGTCGACTTCGGAGAAACTTGAGGAGGTAAGGGGTAAAGAGGAAGAAGATGGTAATTAGTATAAATGGGTTTATGAGAGGAAGTAGCCAGGTGGTTAATGGAGATTGAAACTATGCGAATGGGGAGTTGTTGATTTTTTTTTTTTTTTTGCGTAGGTTTTCACTCAGATGGTTTAAGATGTTAATATTCTGTTTCACTAGACCGGATTCATTGATATAATAACAGCACTTTTTTTCAGGAAGATAAAAGTTCTACTTTCTGCCACTGTTAGTAGGTCTAGGGTTCTCTGGTTCTGCAAAGAAACTTGGGCTAAAGAGGTTAATTGTTGCTGGAGGGAGGTTAGGGAGTCTGCAGTGGTTTTTACTTGGAGCTGTAACTGATTTTTTAGTTCTGGTGTTGATGTAATACTGTGTTTCAACAGCCAGGGTGGTGGAGGTTAGAGAAAGATTAATTATGATAGGAAGGAAGGCTGTTTTTTTTCTGGGTTAATGTTGTAGAAAAGATAAAGAATTCAGTTTCTGTGTAGAGTGTAAGTTGAGGAATGAAAGTTACTGGGAGGTAGGGATTTTTTGTGGAAGAATTTATGCAAGGAGTTAGTTATTGTACTATTACACTAAAAGAAGGTATGGTAAATAGTGTGTATAGTTAAGAGTAGAATTGGGGAGGAAGTATACAGGTGGTAAAGAGGAATTAATGAGGGTACTTTTTTTTTGTACGAAGTGGAGCCAGGAAAAGGAAGGGGTTGGTGTGTTTCTGAGAGTCTGTGGGTAGAACTTGTTGTAATATTTCTTTTGCCTGTACTGGTAGGATGGGGGTGTTATAAGGGGATTGAGTAGAGATTAAGAGTTTTTTGGATAAGAAGTGCTGTATAAGAGGTTTTAGGTTGTGTTGTTGTATGCGGGAGATAAGAAATTGGGATTTGGATGGGAACTGTGTGGGATTTTTTAAATGCACCATGACAGGGTGGTGATGAGAGGCAATGGATGGGGAAGAGGTGTTTCATACGTATGGATCAACAAGGTCAGGGGGCATGGGGAAAGTTAGTGCTTACAGGAAGGTAGTAGTTAGTGATAGTAGGAGAGAGGTAGAGTGATCCTGAGTCCAAGTTAGAGTGGTTTTAATTTTTGTGAGGAAATCTCGTCCCAAAAGGAGGGTAGGGCAGGTTGGTATAACGAGAAATGAGTGAGAGAATTTTGTTATTTATTAAATAGGTGATGGGGCCTGTTGTGGGGGGGTTTGAGGGTTGCCCATTAATTCCCATAACAGAGACTGAGGAAGGGAAACTCCCGAGAAGGAGGGGAGTACAAAATAGGTAGCCCCTGTATTAATTAAAAAGGAGATTGACTTAACCGCTACCTTGATAGTGACCCTGGGCTCAGCAAGAGTGATCAGGGTTGTTGAGTCTGGGCTCCTTCAGTCGTCAGTGGCCAGGCCCAAAATTGTCAACATTGGGTTAGTGGATGGGGAGGGTGACCCTCCGTGCTTTGGCACAGAGGGACAGTCACTCTTCTAATGTCTTTTCAAACCACACGCTGGACATGGCCCAGGGGCTGGTCGGGGCAGAGGGCAGAATTTGGCCCAGTGCCCTTCCTTACCACACTTGAAGCAGGATTGGGGAGCCACGGAGGAAGGAGGTCTTCTGTCACTATGTGCTGGCCTCAGGGCTACTAGTAAGGCATTGGCCTGAAAGGCGGCCTTCTGGCGGGTCCTGGCTTCCCTATCTGCCTCCGCTTTCTCCTCCCGGGTGAGACTTTAAAGGCCATATTTACTAAGTCTCTGATGGGAGTTTGGGGTCTCTCTTCAGCTTTCTTTAGTTTCTAATGTCAGGAGCTGATTGGGTTATGAAATGAGTGGTTAGGACTGTGGCTCCAGCCAGAGAGGAGGGGTCTAGACGGGTAAATTGGGTAAGGGCTTTGGTTAATCGGTTCAGGAAGGTGGCTGGGTTCTCACCCGGAAGTTGGGTAATCTCCCGGAGCTTGTTAAAATTAACTGCTTTATGAGAGACAGCTTGTAGGCCTGCCAGGAGGCATTGGAGCATTTTATCTCTGCGGGACCTCCCAGTCTGTCCGGACTGGGTGTCAGGCTGGTACTCCCAGCTTGGGTTTTGTGCTGGAACAATGTCCGTTCCGACAGGCATGGTGTTATCTGTTAGGTGGGTCTGGTCAGCAAGTTCTCGGGCGGCGCAAAGGACTCTATCTTTTTCGTCTGTGAGGAGGGTAGAGGAGAGGATGACATATATGTCATGCCAAGTTGAATCATAGATCTGAGAGCGGTATCGGAACTCTTTGATGTAAGTGGTAGGGTCATTTGAAAAAGAGCCTAAGCGTTTTTCAATTTGGGATAAATCGGCCAGGGAGAAGGGGGCTTGGATGTGTATAATTCCTTCAGAGCCAGCAACTTCGCGTAAGGGGCAAAGAAGTTGCTGGGAACAAGTGTGGTGGCTCACGGGAGAGGAAAGTATGGGAGAGGTAGAGGAAGAGGTGGTGTCCGGGGAGGTAGGTGAGACTGGAGGATAAGGAGCTGTAGGAGTAAGGGGAAGGGAGGATGGCGTTACCTGGGGGAGAGCGGGTTGTGCTGCAGCATAAGGAGGGGGTCTGGGGGGTAGGGAAAGGTTTTCCGGTAGGTCAGAAAAGGAGGAAGAGGAAACTGTTGGATTAGTTTCAGAGGGGGAGAGAGGTGTGGGTTTGCGAGGTTTGGGGTTTTCACGGGCAAGGATTTGGGTGGTATTACATTTCATATACAATGAGGGTCGGGAGCGCAAACAAAAGAAAGCTTGGACATAGGGGACTTCCTGCCATTTACCTGTGCGTCGGCAAAAATTTTGTAAGTCTGTAAGGATATTAAAGTCAAAAGTCCCGTGCTTTGACCAGTGAGAGCCATTGTCCAGTGTGTGCTGAGGCTATGTTGTGGTGGAGTAAAAGATGAGGCGTTTGGGACGGATGTCCTGGTCTAGTAATAAAGTCTGAAGGTTCGTTAATAAACACCCAGAGGAGTTGTTGGATCAATTTTGGAGTTTTGATTACCCATTGGTTCTGAGTTCTTTGGATAGGGTTCCCAGAACCGTATGCCAGTGGGACTGTTTTACATAGGTGGACGTCTCCGCCTGACGTTAGACAGTCGAACGAGGAATGACCCTCCAAGGCATGACCCTCAAGGGGGATAGGATGTCAGGTGTCCCCAAGCAACCAAAATCCCGGACTGTGAGGAGTTTCTGACATGGTACCACAATTTTCCCTGTGCCAGTGATGCAGAAAACTCCGGTGCAGAACTCAGACCTTTGGGCAAGTCAATTCCCCAAAAGTAATCACACTGGACACATGTCCCAAGGACCAGTCAGATGCCCGGTTGTCCGCTCCCCTCTTGGGGATTTAAGTGAGTCTTTGGCTAACGTGTCTCCATATAAACCCCGGAGCAGAGGGCAGAGCCACACCATTGTGCCAGTCCGACTTCACACGGAAATCAACTGAGGACCCACTCAAACTCCACGACCTAGATCTTGGAGTGTCACAGAAATATTCACACAACCTCTCAGTCAGACGCAGACAGATTACAACAGAACCAATTCAAACCGTCTGGTAGTAGGCACTGGTTTATCGCCCAGAGCCAAAAAATTAAAATGGCCCACAGGATGGAGGACAACAAAATGCAAAATGTATGTCCTCCGGTGGGCATTGAGTAAAGGGTAAGATGTGACTTACCCGTGGTGGATACAGGGGGCCGGAATTCCCTGGTCCGGAGAGAAGAGGGAGAAGGGGAATAAGAATTCCCTCGAGTTCTACTCCTCTTCCCAGGTTTCGGCACCAAATGTAATGCAGAGCTGCCGAGACACCAGGACACGGAGTTGTTTCAGAGAAGCAGTTAATTAGCACTCCTGGGAGAGGTCCTCATGCCCTAGCATCAAGGCCAGAGAAGTCGCACCCCTGCGTGGAGGGGGCGGGGTAGATTCTTATAGACACAGAGAGGACCTAATTGGGGACACTAAGGAAATGGCGGGGTCCAATTAGCTGTTGGCACGAGTCTGCACCTAATTAGCATGAGGGGACTTCACAGGAGGAAGTTTGTCATCACGTGGGACTTTCCAGCCTGGGTGGGTTTTGCCACCTTGGTTGTCTTATCAGGTTGTCTCATCAGGGCCTGTCACCTGGAGGAAGTTGCTAACTGAAATGTTGGTGGTTTGAGTTTGCTCCGGCCTAACGCTAACAACAATAGCACTTATTACTATCAGAAGTCATATATGTATCTGTTTTCCTGTTTATAACTTTTCTTTGCACACTGGACTTGAAGTTAGTACTTCTTCAATCTTTTGGTGTATTCAACAGTTCTGTAAAGATTAGCCTAAAGAAACAATCTGTAATAGAAATTAGTCTGTAGTACAATATCTGCATTAGAATGTGTCATTTACAGAAATTTGAAAAATACTATCATGTTTAGTCACTAACAAAAATGTTTACTTAAAACTACCATAGATCTTATCATTATAAAACTAGTTAGATGTTTACTCAATTGGGGATATAAAACTGGGATCAGAAGGATTGTTTATCAACAAGAATAGTATATCATAAATTGTTATAGGGTTACGTCCTCATATTGCTTATATGCTTATGTTGAAGCAATAGGAGATTTAGGGGTTTTAAGAATCTCTAATGCTGTTGTAAACATTTTTAATGCTTTTTTTAATAGTGATTATTTAATACTATATCCCAGTTCATTACCTCTTCAGTATTGTAATGATTATAATCTGAAAATTCAACAAATTTGTTATACAATTAGTAGATTGGTATCAAGATGATGTATTTTTTGGCTTTTCTTTCTTTCCCTGTTTTGACAGATCTTTAAATCCATTGCTATGAATCAAATTGACTTGATGGCAGTGGGTTTGGTTTGGATTTGGTTTAGATCCATAAAGTCTCTGACAATCTGTCACCCAAACTCCTTACAGCATTCTCTTTATAAGAATGAGTACTAAGGCCAAACCATACTGATTTTCTGGGTTAGTTTGTTAAGTGCCAAACTGTAGGGATTTTTTTTTTTCTTACTACAAGTTGTCATATTTAATGCTTTTGCTAGACAAGCGTGCTTTTCTTTTTTTTAAAACAGTTCACAGAAACATATGAGATAGTGATGTCATGTAAAGTTAAAAGGACTATGTCTCCTATAGAACATAATGATTGATCTTAAAATTAAATAGTAAATACTTTTATAAATCAGTAAAACTGATTTCAGTTTAGCATTGAACACATTTGTGGAGAACCTAATTCAAGGACCTGAATGATAATATTCATGGTAATTTGCAAGTGTGCAGATTTTACTTACCCAGTGGTTATAAATGACCTCTTCACATCAGTTTCCTAGGGCTGCTGTAGCAAAGCACCACAAAATGAGTAGCTTTAAGGAACAGAAATTGATTCTTCCCAGGTCTGGAGGTAAAAAGTCCAAATTCAGGATATTAACAGGGCTGTAGCCTTTCTTGAAGTCTCTAGGAGAAGGTCCTTCCTTACCTCTTCAGGCTTCTGCTTGCCCCAGATGATCCGTGGTTTACAGCTACAGCATAACTCTGTCATCACATGACCATCTTTCCTCTGCCTCTCTGTGTCCCTTTTCCTTTTTTTTATGAGTATCACTCAGATTTAACAACCAGCAATATGAGGACGACACAACTTTGGTTGCTGAGAGTGAAGATGACTTGAAGCACTTACTGATGAAGATTAAACACTACAGCCTGCAGTATGGGTTATACCTCAACATAAAGAAAACAGAAATCCTCACAACTGGACCAATAAGCAGCATCACAACAAATGGAGAAAAGACTGAAGTTGTCAAAGATTTCATGTTGCTTGTTTCCATGGTCAACACCAGTGGAAGCAGCAGTCAGTAAATCAGAGGACATATTTCACTGGGTAGATCTGCTGCAAAAGACCTCTCTAAGGCTCTGAATAGCAAAGGTGTCTCTTTGAAGACTAGGTGCGCCTAGCCCAACCCATGGTGTTTTCAATAGCCTCATATGCATGTGAAAGCTGGACAGTGAATAAGGAAGAGCAAGGAAGAGTTGATGCTTTTGAGTTGTGGTGTTGGTGAAGAATACTGAAAGTACCATGGACTGCCAATAGAACTAACAAATCTGTCCTAGAAGTGCAGCCAGACCACTCCTTGGAAACGAGAGTGGCCAGACTTCATCTCATCTACTTTGGTCATGTTGTCAGAGGGGACCATTTCCTGGAGAAGGATATGCTTGGTAAAGTGGAGAATCAGTGAAAAAGGGGAAGGCCCTCAACGAGATGGATTGACATAGTGGCTGCAACGGATGTGAGGCTGGCACAGGACCAGGCAGTGTTTTGTTCGGCTGTACGTAGGGTCGCTATGAGTCGGAGCTGACTCAATGGCACCGAAGAATAACAACAACTTAGAATGGATCTGAACCCACCCTGCTCCACTATGACCTCATGTTAACTTACAACATCTACAGAGACTCTAATTTATACAAGGTCATATTCACAGGTATGGGGGTGGGTGGTTTAGGACTTCAGTATATCTTTCTGTGGTATACAGTTCAATCCATAGCATGTACTTTGCTAATAATCTGGAAAAGGAAAGTTTTTATCTACCTAATAATCTCTTAAACAAGGACTTAACCTTAAATTTAAACTCAGTTTCATTCATGCCAAACCGGTGATCTAAGGAATCATATGTAGGTAGGTCCCAACTTATGATGGGTTCTGTTCTGATCACTCCGTCATAAGTTGTTTCTAATGTAAATTTAATACCTGAATTTCTTTAAAGTTTTTATCATTATTGCCTTTTATTGTCAGTATCTTTATAAATCTGATCTTTACTTATCTTTGAGGGTTAAAAACATTACATATAAACCTACAGATATATTTCCATACATACATAAAAAATTAACAAATAAAAATTAACTCCAATGACAAGTAGGAGTTGGATGATATTGGCATTTTTTAGTTGCGATAATAACTCCACTTGTGGAAAGTTCTGGATCATCTGGATTATCCCTGGCAATGGGGTGGCATTTCTGTTCAGTGAGAGTTGTCTATATGGTCCTTTTCTTTTTTTCTTCATATATTTCGTGTTAATCATCTCACTGCTTCCCAAATCTAGCAAAGTGATCAGCATTTGGGTCCACGTTTTCAAGCAACTGAAGCCCCTGATTTAATTTAGGAGAAACTTCAGCAAATCCTTTCACTGTAAAAATTTTTAACAACTTCTTTCCTCTTTCCTGAACTCATTCTTTCTTCTCCAAAATCCATCAAATTCTTATCTGTCAGTTCCCCTTCTTCATGATCTATAAGCTGTTCCACATCAGCAAAACCAAACTACATGCTTCCACGTTGTATGTGGCAAATACTACTAACAATAAAATGTACCCAAAAAAAGGATAGTGTTAAGTGCAGTTCATGGTGACTCAATTACATCATAAGTTGAGCACTCCCTGTACTTGACATATACTTCCATACTTAACATATGAATTTAGAAAACACTTGTTAAAGTATTCATTCTTTTTACTTATGCCAAAAGCTGTTTGTTAGCAAAACCCTTCTCTCCAAGAAAATACTTAGCAAAGTTCTTACCAGGTCTCTATTCTGGAAAGTCCAGAAATACCCAGAGAAATATATTTCACACTTACCCTCTGACCATTAAGCTTGCATTTCTCTCTTTCTGTGGTGTCCTTCCTCATTTATTTCATAATATGTTGCAATTTCCCTTACTTTAAACTATCTTCATTTGACCCTCAGCCTTATATTGAATTATTTTACTTTTTAAATAATGAATGTAAGCCATAGTCATCTATTTTCTAATTACTCATGTAATCACTAACTTTACACAGTCTGATCTCTACTCATTTCACTCTGAAAGTAGTGAATGCCCCTTTAGTGCCTTTTTACTGTCTTCTGAATATCTCAGTTTTTGAAATTTGACTTCCAAAATAATGCCTATATTACTTGTGATTTTGTGAACACATATTACTGCTCTAATATCACTATGTTGGACCAATTCATTGATCATTCTCCTGTCTATCCTCGGTTTGTTCATTTTTATGACTTTTCTGCTGCATTTAGTACTGTAATTTCATTTTCTTGAACTCTTCTTCTGTGTCATGTGATATTCTTTTTCTTGAGAAAACACTGGCATTTAGGGCCTGACAGCCATGTCTCTTAACATACTGAAATGTGTGAAACTGTGCAGTGAACAATTGTTCCACAAATACATGCCAGTAACATTGAGGAACATTGAATTAGGGATTGCTTTCAACTGCCTGGAACAGAGGTCCAACCTAATGGTTTAACCAGATTGAGGCTTGTTTCCTCACATAACAAGCAATATAGAGGCAGGCTGTGCTTAGCTGGTGCAGGGCCCCATAGAGTTCTGGCACCTTCTCTTTTCCTGCTCCATTTCCTTAGTACGTATGTGCCTTTTATCCTCATTTTTTCAAGATAACTGCTTCACCTTCAGAGAGGATGCAGCAGGGCAGAATGGTGGTACCAAATTTGGGAAATCAAACCTTAGGGATTACCCTCAGATACCCATGTGCACCTCATTAGCTAAAACTAGTATATATGACTCCTCTTTGCAAAGGAATGGAACCCTACTGGCACAATGATTAAGTGCTTGGCTATTAACCAAAAGGTTAACTATTCAAACCTGCTAGCCACTCTGTGTGAGAAAGATATGGCAACCTGCTTTTGTAAAAAATTACAGCCTTAAGAGCTCTGATGACGCAGTGGTTAAGCACCAGGCTCCTAACTATAAGATCTGCAGTTTGAGCCTACCAGCCATTATTCCATGGGAGAAAGATGTGGCAGTCTGCTTCCATAAAGATACACAGCCCCGGAAGCCCCTATAGCGTCACTATCAGTCAGAATTGACTTGATAGCAGTGGGTTTGGGGTTTTTTGCAAGGGGAAGTTTTCAAGCTGGGAACATTGCCTTTTCAAACAAAATTGCTGTTTTATACTTAAGGAAAAAGGAGAGAATGGATATTGAGTATCAATTGTTACAGATGGTGTATCCATGGTAGTCAGTTGACTATTGAAAGGCCCTGGACCTGTGATCCTTTTTTCATTTCTCTCTACTAGCACCAAGTTAGGTATAAATACATACGGACCCATCCTCTGCCTCCTAGGTCCCTTTTAACCTTGTCATTCTGGTTCTTTTGTTTCCTTTCTTTTAATTTTTTAAATTTTGCTGTTGTTGAGAATATACACAGCAAAATATACGCCAATTCAGCAGTTTCTACATGTACAATTTAGTGACATTGATTCCGTTCTTCAAATTGTGCAAGCATTTTTACCCTTCTTTTCTGAGATGTTCCTCCCCCTTTAACATAAATTTACTGTCCCCTCAGGTTCCAAGTGAATCTTTCTAGTTAGTTGTTGTTAATTTGTCAATTTGTCAATTGTCATAGATAGTTCTTAAAAGACCAGAATGCTCAAAGCAAGACGGTTTTTACTAATTCAGCTAAACTGTTGCTTGATTTTTAAGAGACTAAAGGAAATATTCTTGGTTTAAGGTTTAAAGATTATTTCAGGGCAGTAGCTTCCACAGTTTTAGCACTTCCGGAGTCCATGAAGATTGGAAATTCTGTTCTGCATTTTCTGCCTTTTGATCAGGATTCTTCTATAAAATCTTTAATCAAAGTGTTCAGTAGTGGTAGCCAGGCACCATCCAATTCTTCTGCTCTCATGCAAAAGAGACAGTAATGCCATGGAGGCAATTAGCCACACATTCCATGTTTTCCTCCTGTTTCTGAATTTCCTTCCTCCTCTGTTGCTCTAGGTGTATAGAGACCAATTATTGTATCTTGGATGGCTTCTGGAAAGCTTTTAACAACCCAGGAACTGCACAATGAACTAGGAGGTAAAATGGAAGCACTAAGCATGTTATTAGGCCAGTTAACTGAGATGTCCCATGAAACCATGACCTTGTACATCCAAAGCAAGGAACCAAAATCCTGTAAGATGTTTGGTTGTACATAAGCAAGCCTTAGCAGATGCTCTCTTTGTTGTTGTTGTAAAATGTCTACCACACAACTTTTGCCAATTCAACTTTTTACAAGTGCACAACTTATTGACAGCACTTAAAATAATCAGCTACCCAACTCTACCCTTAAATCAGTGTGATTTTCCATTACTGTAAACCAAAATTTAGTACTCCATAAGCAATAACCTCCCCTGCCTTCTTCCTTTCTGCCCCTGGCAACCACTAGTAACCTTTGGTCTCCATATATTTGCCTTTTCTTGTCTTTTTATATAAGTGAGGTCATATGATTTTTATCCTTTTGTAATTGACTTATTTCACTCAGCAAAGTGTCTTCAAACTTCGTCCATATTGTAGCATGTATTAACACTTCATTTCTCCTTCTGGCTAAGTAGGAGTATGTATGTATGTACCACATTTTTGCTTATCCATTCATGGACATTTAGGTTGTTTTTCCCTTTTGGCTAGTGTGAATAGTGCTTCAGTGAACATCAGTGTACCAGTCTCTGTGAGCCCCTGCTTTCAAGTCTTTTGGATACATACCTAGGAGTGGAATTGCTGGGTCATTTGGTAGTTATATTTTCAGTTTTTAGAGAAACTGCCACACTATTTCACAATGGCTGTACCATTTTACATCCACTTGCAGTGGCTAAGGAGCCCAGTTTCCCCACATCTTTACCAACATTTGCTATTTTCTGATTTTTGTTTGTTTGTTTGTTTTTTAAATCTTAGCCATCTTAGTGTGAGTGAAATGGTATCTTATTGTAGTTTTGATTTGCAGCTCTCTGATGGCTAGAGATGTCAAACATCTTTTCATGTGTTTGGTGTCCATTTGAATGTCTTCTCTGGTGAAATGTCTATTCAAGTCCTTTGACCATTTTTATGATTGGATTATTTGTCTTTTTCTAATTAAGTTGTCAAAGCTTTACTTATCTTCTGTTTATTAGATTCTTATTGGATCTGTGGTTTCTGAAAATATTCTTCCAGTCAGTAGCTTATCTTTTCACCTTTTTGGCAAAGTCTTTCAATGTCTGTTTATTCCCCCCTCCCACCCACCCCCATTGCTAATTGATAGGCAGTTCCTTCTCAGAGGTGAAATTTAATGATTGACTTATTTAAATTTTAAAAAATTTTATTGTTGTGAAATACATGTAATACAAATTTGCCATTTTAGCCATTTAATGATTTACCTTTGATTTCCTTAATTTATTTGTATTTACTTCTACAGATCCATTTTGGCAAAGGGATTTAGATTTTCTTTCACATTACAGTAAATGTACTTTTAAATATTTTTGCAGACTTTTCATTTTATAACCTACTATTATTGTGCTGTTGCATTTTGACTGGCATTTTAAAATTTTACACAGGTGATATTCTTGAATTTCATGGTCCCGAAGGAACAGGAAAAACAGAAATGCTTTATCACTTAACAGCACGGTGTATACTTCCAAAGTCAGAAGGTGGACTGGAAATAGAAGTCTTATTTATTGACACAGATCACCACTTTGATATGCTTCGACTTGTTACAATCCTTGAGCATAGACTGTCCCAAAGCTCTGAAGAGATAATAAAATCTTGCCTTGGAAGATTCTTTTTGGTGTACTGCAATAGTAGCTCCCAGTTACTTACCACTCTTTACTCACTAGAGACTATGTTTTGTAGCCACCCCTCTCTCTGCCTCTTGATTTTAGATAGCTTGTCAGCTTTTTACTGGATAGACCGTGCCAATGGAGGAGAAAGTATTAACTTACAGGAGTCTACTCTGAAGAAATGTTCTCAGTTTTTAGAGAGACTTGTTAATGAGTATCGCTTGGTTCTCTTTGCATCAACACAAAGCATCATGCAAAAACACTCAGATGCAACAGAAGGACCTTCTTCTGCCTTTCAGTGGCCAAGTAATGAGGATATAGACTATAGACCCTATCTCTGTAAGGCATGGCAACAAATGGTAAAGCATAGAATATTTTTTTCCAAACAAGATGATTCTAAAAGGAGCAACCAGTTTTCCTTAGTTTCACGTCACTTAAAAAGTAACAATATAAAAAGATATTTTTTTACTATTGGAGAAAGTGGGGTTGAGTTTCCTTGATATGTATCGTAAACTAGTTTTTTGTAAGATATTAATACCAGTTTATTAAAAGTCTTTTATAGATTAAAGTGTTTTGATTCTAAAGTTTTAAACTCTAGGGGAATTGATACCAACAGTGTTTCTGTATAGAATGGATTTCTTAAACTTGTACAGTAAAACTTTGGGCCATTCTCTTTCTAAATTATTGAAGATTATCAAGATATTAACAATTAAACTTTGAATTAAACTTATTTTAAAACTGAATAAATATGCATACATTTCCATCTAATAAATAAAATGGAATTTTATGATTTCGTGCCACATTTTTTAAATGTAGTTCACTATTTATTTAGAAAAGTTTGGATGTATTTCTGATCTCTCATTTGTAACTCCTTTAGTAAACAGTGACTTTGGAAAAAATGTATAGAGAAACTTTTGTTTCTATGTAAGGGATGAATCAAGGCTCTCACTGACATCCGTTTGTCTAGGTGACTAGGTTATGAAATCTCAGAGCATTTTAATCAGACTTACACTAAATTCCAAGGCAGAGTTGCATTAAGATTGGGTTTTAGTGTAATTTTGAAGCACAAGGAAATAAGATACCCATTCAAGGAACTGTGTGAAGTATGTTTTGAAATTTTTACCTTCTCTTTAAGAGATAGATGAATGCTAAAATTATATTAGAACTATGTTAGTAGTATTATCGTACCCATTTGGAATAGTCTAGATGTACTCTGAACTCAGTGAAATCATTCCCAACCGAGAGTAACACAAAGCTCTGTATACTGTCCCAGTGAGGCCAGAATGGGGAGCATGAATCTCAAAGGTTACACAAGTCATTGTATTGTGGTGAAAAAAGAAAATTAAAGAACTTTTATTTATACAATTTAAGAAAAGATTAAATCATACTAATAATTGGTGTTCAGATTGACTCTGGCACCCTCATTCAGCAGCCCTTATGTCAGATCATCATATGTCACATACGGGCCAGAGGTGAAAGTGGAAGGGATTGTTGGTGGTGTTCTCATGGGTTTGTTCATTTGTATGTTATCTATCTCATTAAAATTATATAAGTGCGAATTCACTTTCTAACAAAGATTCTTTAAAGGTATAAAAAGAATCCTGCAAAGAAGCCAAGATTGACAATGGTAATCTTAATAATGCAGGCATAGCAGATGTTGCATATGTTGTCTGTGCCCCACCCATGGACCCTGCACCGACTGTGGCTCACCTGCAATTTCCAGAAACCAAAGGCCTTTGAGACACAGAGATATTTCTGCCTTGTCCCAGTAGGATTTATTCCCAGTTTACAGCAATAATTACTCATTAACATACTGTTTATTGGCCTTCCTCCTTTCCCTCTCTCATTTCCCCACTTTCTCATGGTACCTCCTAGGATTGCCTCCTAATTGAACTACAAGTCCTTGTCTAGGAAATACTGTTGCTGAGGAGCACAGGAGAACCAGATTGCCAGCAGACAATAAAAAGTCATCAAGCAGCGCAGTATTTGCTCTTCAGCCACATTATGAAATTAAAAATGACAATGACAGTGTGTAATTTTCAGTCGATCTATAGTACATACTTTTTCACTTAAATTTTTGTGTATTTCTTGGAATACATGTACATATAAGTAACATTTACATATTTGTATATTGGGTGAATGTGCTATTCTTTCCTCCCTGAGTATGGAGTAAATAAAATTGAAGATTGACTGTCTACTCTTCCGTACTTCTTTCAGTCATTAAAAAAGATAGGAAAATTTAGTTACCTTACCTATCAAAGCTTAGTCTGATGTGTGTATAGTGTGTTATTCACACATACATTAGAAAAACTTAGCAACTCTTACCAGAATTCTAGCCTTGAACATAGGATTTTCCATTTCCCCTTTATATAAATGAAGTGTTAATTTAATGGACTGTTATTCACAGATTTATAACTTATTCTTCAGGAACATGATTAAAAAATAATGAACTTTTTTATTAGCTTAAATTATCAATTATATATTAATGTGTCAGGGCTAGCAAAGACTCCGTTATCTTAAAAAAGATTTGTTATCTGACATGTTGAAAGGAATTAAGAATACTGGTTAATCAAAAATTCTTTTATGCTAAAAGTTATATTAATGTGACATTGTGAACACTGTAAAAATTTTAATACTTATAAAAAGAATTAGGTTTAAAGAGAAAGACAGAAATGGTAAACCCTAAGTTATGTAGGTAGCAAGACATGTCAAAAGAATAATGGGAGTGAATGACATATCTTAGAATGTTTGTCCTATTTACCTATAAAAAAGTGGATCATAAACGACATTTCTTATTAGCAAATTTCTAAGCATCAATATGAAAATCTAGTGGAAAAAATGCATGTGAAAGATACTTCAGATGAGTGCCTAAGGCATTTGACTGCTAACCAGAAGGTTGGCAGTTCAAACCCACTAGCCATTCCACGAAGGGAAGATGAGGTAGTCTACTTCCATAAAGATTTACCACCTCAGAAACCCAATGGGGGGGGGAGCTCATTATGAGTTGGAATCAACTCAATGGCAGTGAGTTTTGAGCATCATACAAAAATAATGCTTTTATCACTTCCTTTGAATGTATAAGGCTTTCAGCTTTCCACTACAAAATGCTGTGTTATTAATACCCTTTTTTAAAAAAAATTTTGCACACTACTCCGCTAAATAATGTTGTTGTTTTATGTGCCATCGAGTCAGACCCGACTCATAGCGACCCCTCCTTGGGTTTCCGAGGCAGTATCACTACAGAAGTAGATTTGCCCAGTCTTCCTTCTGAGGAGTGGCTGGTGCGTTTGAACTGCCAGCCTTCTGGTTAGCAGTCAAGTGCCTTAGGCACTATGCTACCAGAGCTCCTATGAATTAGCAAAAAATGCAGATGAAATAAAGACACTTTGACCTGAGAAACACTGAGAATTTACCAAGATTGCCTCCCTTAAGAAATTTCTACAAGTTATACTTCAAGGAGAAAGAAAATTATCCCAGAAAGTCTTAGATGTAAGAGGTAATGTTAAGTGAACAAAATGATAAGTCCTTGAGTTAAACTAAAGAAATGTTGATACATTGAAACAGAAAAAAAATGTGTAATTTGTGGAAGGAGAAAACATGATATAGAGTGAAAATCCAAGGTAATTTATTGCATATACATTTGTTGCATGTAAACCTAGTACAGTTAAAGTAGTTAATTGGAATTAAGTCAATCAAAACATTGTGCTTTATTCTGAAGGAGAGTGAAGATGTAGACCAACATTAGAGTTGATTAAGTTTGAATTTGAAAATCTGAAGTGCTACCTACAAAAGAAACAATATATGCTCAAGTAGTATGTGTTAAGGAGTCAGCAATGGAATGAGTAAGAGAAATACAAAGGCACAGGAGAAAACATGAATAGAAACAAATAAGCAGTAAATAATATGGTAGAAATAAATCCAGTCGTAAATGGGTGAAATTCTGTGAAATCATTATTAGATTTTTTTAAAATTCCATTATATGCTTTTAAAAGAAATGCATCTGAAAACAACAGAAATGTTGACAGCAAAAAAATGAAAAAATGTATAGCAGAGAAATCCCAAAAGGTGGCTCTTGCAGCTGTGTAAGACTAGACTTTAACTATAGTAACATTTTCTTTTTTAACAAAGATATGCCAGTCTGTCAGTCATATTGTGATGGGTTGCATGTTGCTGTGATGCTGAAAGCTATACCAGCAGGATCACCCATGGTGGACAGGTTTCAGTGGCGCTTCCAGAATAATATGGACTAGGAGGAGCAATCTGGCAGTCTACTTTGGAAAAAATTGCTAGTGAAAACCTTATGAAACACTGTCTGATTCATTATGAATTACACTTAATCATAAAGAAAACAAAAATCCTCACGACTGCACCAATAAGCAACATCATGATAAAAGGAGGAAATATTGAAGTTGTCAAGGATTTCATTTTACTTGAATCCACAATCAGTGCCCATGGAAGCAGCAGTCAAGAAATCAAAAGACATAACTGTGTTGGGCAAATCTGTCGTAGATTTCTATAAAGTGTTAAAAAGCAAAGATGTCATTTTGAGGACTAAGGTGTGCCTGACCCAAGCCATGGTATTATCAATCACCTTACATGCATGCAGAAGCTGGGCAACAAATAAGGAAGACCAAAGACTTGATGCCTTTGAACTTTGATGTTGGTGAAGAATATTGAATATACTTTGGACTACCAGAAGAACAAACAAATTCCTATCTTGGAAGAAGTACAGCCAGAATACTCCATAGAAACAAGGATGGTGAGACTTAGTGCTTTGGACATATCATTGGGAAGAACCAGTCCCTGAAGAACTTTATCCTTGGTTGGCAAACAAGAGGAAGACCCTCAGCGAGCTGGATTGACACAGTGGCTTCAACAATGGGCTCAAACAAAGCAATGATTGTGAAGATGGTGCAGGACTGGTCAGTGTTTCGTCCTATTATATACAGGATTGGTATGAATTGGAACTGATTCAGTAAGCACATAACAACTACTTAGTAACATTTTCTCTGTTAACAAAGATGGCTACAGACTAATGGAAAGTTTGACTCATCTTATAATTTGTATGTGGTCACTGAGATAACATCAAGAAATGTAAAGCAAAAATTTAGAAAACAAATTGACATGGTCAATTGACCATGGCATCACAGTAGATATTTTAATATGCAGAGTTATGAACATCTGACTTACAACTTCTTGGCCTTTGAAACCCACAGACATTGAGTCGATTTTGACCTATAGTGACCCTTTGGGACAGAGAACTGTCCCAAAGGGTTTCCAAGGCTGTAAATCTTTAGGAAACAGAGTGCCTCATCTTTCACCCACAGAGCAGCTGGTGGATTCAAACCACCAACCATTTGATTAGCAGCCAAATGCTTTAATTGCTGCACCACCAGTGCTCCAACATGCCCTTTGCCCTCACTTTGAAACAACTGAACTAAACTCTGCTGGCAACAAATTCTTCATCACTAGCACCCTCACTTGCTGCAGTGCAGCTTTT